TTCAAATTTTTAATATTTTCGCACATGTTCTTATTTTTAACTAGATTTCACACCATTTTGTGTAATATTTTGCATAACTTTACTAAGTTCGTCGCCGAAATCCCACTCCAACCTCAGATCGAATTTCAACTGATAATTCCTTGGTTTTTATCGTTTCCTAAATAACTTCTGAAATTTTGTAAATAACTTCTCTAAATTTGTGAAGTTTGTGACAAAAGGTAACAACTACACTTACTTAAAGGAAATAAAATGCTAGAATAAATGCTAATTAATGTTTTGTGTAAATACTTTTGACAACTAATAGGCATCAGTGCATTTGCTTATATTTTTGTTAAATGAACAGTTATCTTTCCAATTCTTTTTTTATTTGGTTCTGTATAGATGAAACTAAGTGACAAAAAAAATTTTTTTGCAACTTACGTTCAACAACAACAATAAAAACATGTTTTAATGCAATATGTACAAAAACTTTCGTTGTGTAAATACTTTTGACTATGGCTGCATTTATCATCTAAACTTTTCTTTACTCATGAATTCATATTAGTTAATATCACCAGATTACCTATACTCTCTCATTTAGATTATGCATCTAAAATCAGTAAAAGTTGTAAAATCTTTGAATGTTGTGCTGTGCAGATCAAAACAAATTATGAACTTCCTCTCCAATCAGCATCTTTTGCGAACGACCTGCAAACTTGTTCGAAAAGTGACACAAAAACCGAAATTTTTCGACAGCTTTCGCAGAAGACTGTATTACAAACAGCCGGTTCAAAAACTGAGTATCATGTTACTTTTGCGATTGCATATCAATACGGCTGCACTAGTTGCACCACATTGTTCTATCTTTACTGCTAAGGCTTTGCCAACAAAACTTCCTACAGACCACGCTACATGCAACAGATGCAAATATCTGATATATACAGACAGTAAATTTACAAACATAAATAATATAGGTGATATCAATGAAGTCGACATTTATTTACCAGTAGATTTTAACCAATTATGGGTTTCGTGCTATATGTTTTAACCTTTACGTTGGACCAAAAAAAATTACAAATCCTATCTTTTGGACCATTTTGGTTCATGTGGCATTTTTGATTAAAAAGTGCAGTAAAAAGTTTTTATTATATTTAAATTTCTCATTTCGTAAATAATATTTACGCAAAAAAACTTTGTGCATAATAAATTGTTTATTTTTTGTAATGTGTTTCACTATGCTACCAAAATATATGCTGAGACTCTGATTCCCCTCATTTTAGTTTTTAAGTTCTAAGCAATAAAATTTACAAATAATTCAAAAGCTAACAGCAGTGTTCAAAATACAAATTATTTTTGTGATTTGTGGAACCGTTGCAATGCTCTTTCAGGTGAATTATGCTCCCGGCGACACATGCCCGCTAAATATTGTTTAAAATTTTGGATGTCTGTCTACTTTAAAATAAAATATGTTTGGAAGATGTAACCTTATCTCTCAAAACCAGCAAATGAACAGCTAGAGAAAAATCAAGAAAAGTGGTTCACGGGCTTATTACTTTTTTTCAAACATTGACTTGTCAAAAAAAAATAAAACATTTATTCTACCGAAGTTACTAATAACAAAAAGAATTGCTTTGTGCGATTCATCCTTTGCTTTCAATAATTATACAACATTGGTTTTATATAAGAGTCATAAAAATAAGAGCGCAATTTCAGTAAGTATGATATGTCCAGGTTACTGAATTTACTGATCGCATTGAAACACGCCTAGGTACTTCAAACACTTTATTATAATTAATTCTTAGTAATATTAATGCTCAGCGTCTTATCGCTTAAGCGTCATACAATTATTAATATTTACTGTTTATAAGATAAACTGCATTAAAAATTCTAATTTAATAAAATTAATTTAATAATGCTAACTTGTGGATGCAAAACAGTTGAAATTGAATTGATGAAAAATTTAGGAAATTTAATGTTTTGATGAAAGGAAAGGCTTGGCTGACGTAGTAATGTTGCAATGCAATACTCCTCATGTATTTTATAGTTGTTGATTTGCACTTCTAATACGTTACTCGTTTTCCGAGCGCGTTACTCTACTTCGTGAATAGCCCCATCGTTAATTGCTAATAATTATTATTACAAATAATTATTGCAACTTATTATATTTTGTGAATTTTTGGTTGATTTTATTAATTCATGCATAGTAGTTATATTCTATATTAATGGTTATCAAATAAAATATTGTACCTATATGGTATGTCATTATATAGAATTAATCAAGAATAATAAAGTGAACATTTTAAAAATCTCAATGGCTACACTACAACGCAACATATGCGATTCTGTCTCTAACTTTAATGCATTTTTCACATAACAGAATTTTCCAGAAAAAAGAGTGCAAGCCAACAACTACCATTAAGGGTTCAGAGGACATAATTTTATTAGCTCGCCAGCGTCTGCTAAACAGATTTCAATAGAGTTTTTTTTTTGTTTATTAATATAAGTACCTGCATGATAAAATATGGCACTGTCACAGCTGCACAGTGAACTAAAACTAAATTTTGTTAGTCAAAATCCATTACATTTGAAAAAATTTATGAAAATGATTTTGTTATAAATTGCATATTGTTATACTTGCATATCAAAACGTATATTCGCAAACACTAAATTTTGTTTAAAAAATTTTTTGAAGCTCTAATTCTGATAAAATATAACTATATATATATATAATTTTATATTCTCTTAATTGTTATAAAACAATATTATCCATGCTGTTAAAATTTAAGTTTCCACATATATCAATCTTGCAACATTGATAAATGTAGTTGTAGATTCTTTCTGAAAAACTGAAATTGTGCCATCAATATTTTACCAGAACAATAGCACGATTTCGATTTTCCAGACAGTTAATTTGACAACGTATTTTACAATTTGAAAACTTGTACATAAAAACTATTAATGGAAAAATCAAAGTTTGATTTCTTAATTAATTTTTAGTTTCGTTAGTTTACTTTTAGTGTACTTTCAGATATAAATTGAATTCAGTACTGAAATGGTGTTGTACTGGAGCAATAACAGCGTAACTATAATAGTGGCTTGAAGTCACTGCTTGGTACGAATAGGATATAACAGCTTTAAGAGAATCAAATATATAAAATACTTACTCTAATTATTATAAAAATAAAATAATAAACTTATGTAGAAAATTTAAGTTCCATAATTTTAATGTACAAAATCTTATTCAAAGATAACGAAGTATTAATAAAGCTTATATAATTCAAAAGTAAAGAAACTTTATCCCTCTGTGCGCTGCCCTGTTCGCATCTCTATGCACTCAAGCATGGTTATCTATGTCAACCTTAAATACATTATTGTTGAGAAAAAAGGAACTGCATGTAAGCATAGCAATCCACTACATTCATTCTCATTATTATGAAAAGAATGCCTTTTTACTGTTATTCTGCATCATTATTATTGGCATCAAAATGTATAAATACGGTCAAAACATTGACGGAGTACTCAGTTGGACTTTAACCTGTGGAGTTAAAAGGTATTGGACATTACGGAACAAAATATTATTTCAAAAAGCTTATTGTAGTTTTCATACCAAATGAACTATAAAATTGTGTTTCTCAAAGTTTTGAGTGTTTACTATAATTACATCACTAAGCTGTAAGTTCATAATTACGTAAAAAATTACGTGTATTTTTATTTAAAATTAAATCGTTAATTACAAGAATAACTAAATATAAAATGAAATTTTTTACCAAGTTGTATAATTTGCAAAATTAAAATTTCTTTGGACACAAAAATTTGATGCATTTACTTTTTAGTTATACAAATCCTGTGAATTCTTGAGCATTAATTTGTTATAGTTATTTGTACAAATACACATGTAATGTAGGGAAAATTGAACTGCAGTTATGTTACATATCGCCTACTCAACTTAACATACATATTTAAAAATATAATTTATATCTATTGTATATCAAATCTATTTGTTTATGAAGTTCATTATCTAGGATCTACAATAACTAATCTATTGTCAAACTGTCAAACTGGTTTACTAATAAGCTTTGAGACGAATTTTAGTGAGTCACTTAATAGTGTTGTTCAGGAATGTATAAGATACTAGCTGACCCGGCAAAAGTTGTTTCCCCTCGCAATTAAATTTAATTCAATATATGAGTAGTTAAAAAGATTGTCAGGTTTGTCCATGCGAGATGTAATCCCATTTTAGAATTAAATCGCACACTTCTTAGGATAAAGCCTGAGCTCTGTTAAGAGTGTTTGTAAATATCAACTTAACGTTTAGCATTTTAATGCAAAAAATCATTTTTAATTTAGTTTTTTTTGCACTGCAAAAAAACTCACATGCACTGCTTATGTTACAAATATTTTTATGTTACTTTGAATCCTTAAAGCATTATACGATATCTGTATGTTTTTTTTTT